CTTGCTCCTAGTAACGATGCCAGGAGCCCCTAGTAGCTTCTTGTTCCCAGTAGTCAGGCCAGGAGCGCCCGTTCGTCGCGATGCCCTTACCGCTCCGTTCGTAGCTTAGCAGAACCTTCCTTGCTCCAGGAGAACATCGAAACCCGAAGGTCGCTGGCAGAACGCTTGCAGCAGAACAAAACTGGAGGACTGCGCAGAGCATTGGGATATGTTCATCGTTTTGGGTTTTATGTGGCTTCACAATGAAGGTTATTTGTGTGTATAATTATGTTGGTATACGTGTTCAACGGTATGAGTCTCCTTTGGCCTCAACTTCGACATTAGATTAGGAATTTTGGCGGGTGCTTGTGCAATTTTTGGTGCCAAAAGCTCTCATTACAAATGGGCTGTATCGGCTTCCCCTTCTTGTAATGTAGGTGAAGTAAAGTGCCCCTACACATCTAGGATCCAAATCAATCATGCGTAGGGCCCGGGAGGAAGAACTTTCGCCCTTGCGCATCCCTGTTGCCTAGTGGGCCTACTACTTGCTAGAGCCTAGTAGCTTCTTCTTGTTCCAGCAAAACTTCTAGGGATTTCTAGGAAATATTGCTTTTTGTTTAAACATACCCGAGGGTTTATGGTTCACAGCGAAGGTATTCCCCGCTGCGAAGGTTACTTTTTGTGCGGAAAGTCAGGACACACACTCCAGATAAAGTTTGGCCACCAGAGTTGCGGCACCAGGTTTCAAACAAAGCGGACACAATTTGTGGGGAATTCAAAAAGGGGAGGCATGGAATGGATATGAAAAAGATCTCGACAGAATCGGTGCTAATTCCAGTGGCCTGTGCGATGTGTTGGGATCCTTGAAAATATGGAATTTAATTGCACACAAATGCTCAGGATCCAAACTACGAACACATGTTTTTGTGTGTTTCTTTCCAGTTTGTTCTCTACAATTTCTGGAGCTGTTTGCGGAAAGATATCAATCAGCCGGCTGATGATAGCTTCTTACAGGGACTTGGTATCGTATTGAACTTGTTGCGGGACAATGCTTGGGCCCAAGCGCTTCTCAGACTTTGAAACTGGACGTGCCTTAAAGCTTGGTGCAAGGACAGGCGCTATCGTGTGCGGACTTGCGCCGCTGTACTAGCAACTGGTGAAGCTCTTGCAACACCAAGCTCAATCCCCATTCGTCAGCATACAACGCCAGGTTGTTCCACTGAAGAGGGACTCAGAAAACTGCTGCTTTTAGTGGAAGCTATGGGAGATCTTCAAGCTAGATTGAACCAACTACACCCCCTCGTATCGAATCCAAAGCTGAACAGGCTTTGGCCCAGAAGGACCTAGAAGCCGGTCATCCAGGGTCCGAGAATGATGGACATGGCAAGTCTTGATCGATTTGCGCGTGCAACCGTATCCTCAGCGGTGCCCCTTATTCCGTATCCTTCTTTTGGCTCTATATACATGCTTGCCGTGAACACGCCAGATGGCCTCACTTCCCCCGTGATGTAAAAGTCGAACCCATGTGTCGAACTGCAGCGTTCGTTTGGCAGCAGGTGAGGCAGCTCATGCCCGACATGTTTCACTCCAAATCCAAAGTGACAAGATTGTGATTGGCGAAGTAAATGTTGACTTTGCCAGGGCCCATCAGGGGGGCCCTCCTGGTATCTCGGATTGGATGCGGCCCGCAGGCGACAGATCGGTAATGTCCTCAGTCTTGCACTCAAGCAAACGTATTCCAAGAGAGCACCGCGTGAGACTCCGATTGGCTGTCGAACTGGGATCCGAATTGCGACGATCGCAGATCCCTTCACCGAGTGAGGGAGAAGCGTGGACTGGTCAGTGGACTGATCGCCTGATTGACATCGCACGCTGTGCTGAAGCTTTCTGTCAATGAGCCCGGATTCCTGTCACATCTGACGATTATTGTGCCAAAAACACCTCTTGAACCACTAACCGGGGGTGACCGACACACCCTTTCGGGAGAAAGAGACCTAGGAACAAATGGAACTTGGCAGGAAACCTGTGTGTTTCGCGAAAGTCCGCCTGTTTTTGTCCGCTTTCCACATTGGACATTTGTAGAAGTGGGACCATTACCGTTCGTCACAAGAAGCGCAGCGAACGTAGCCGAACGCAGCGATGCCCTACCCGTGACTCCGGCGCTCGCCCGGAGAAGGCCCGGAGTCCGAAAGGCGGACCTTTTCTGCCCAAACTGCCTTGTCGGAGGCATGTGCTACAAGAAAACCGATGAAAACCGTCTCATGTGCTACATTCCGCATCACCTCGAGCAAATCTGCAAGCTGTCCGTAGAACTTCACAGAACCTGGTTTTTTCAGCCCTCCGTCGCCCTTCTGCGTCCCTGTCGCGTCCTGTTGTCGCCTAGTAGTTTCTTGCTGAGCTTCGTAGCTAGCTACAGCCCCCCCCAAAAGAATACATATTTTACATACATTACATGCAAACATTCAAAAGGCAACAAAAACAAACAAAGACAACAAAAAAGCCGCTCGGCGGCTTTGGTGTTCATCACAACCGTCATGTTTGTTGGCAAGGCCGAGAGTTGCAAAAGCAGCTGTCGCAGCGAGTTCTCAACGAAGATCTCCGGGCTTTCTTGGAGCTTATCCAACGGGTGCAGGTAGACGGAGCATCGGGAGGATCAAAAGCAGGGCAAGTGTAGCAAGAAGATGTAGGATGTGTGAATGTTCGAAATAAAATCACACGGGACATAGATAGATAGCATGCAGCATGCACAAATATCAACAAACAACAGGTCCGATGTGTTTCTAAACGCTGGCATTAGCTTACGGCCATGAAGTCCCAATTCGTTCAGGTGTTGGAGGTGGAGCGGTTGGAGCTCGACCATTTCTGGGAGATCCACCGGCAGCAGTTGGAGCAAAGAGACCAGGACACCGAGAGTCACTGGCCCTGTCACATCCCTGGTCCTTCGGTTCGCTTCCACCGTCCAATCGATGAAGAAGAAAAGTCAAAAAGACGTTGACACTTGACACTTGGGGAGGTCTTGGAGACTTCTTTGATTAACATATAGAATAAAGCACGTTAACAGAAGGATCTCAAGATGTTCCTCTTGGATTGGTTTGTTTCCAGGAGATTGCCATGCTGCGAGAACAGCTCCGGCTCCGTAATGGCCATATCCAACAACAGCGGCAGGAACTCGATGAAAAGGTCCCTGGAGACCTTGGAGAAATGTCACACGTTTTGCAATTTTTTGAAGACAGGGGTGGTTTTTTTCCGTTAAGAAGAGGTCACGGATGGTCACGGATGGTCAGGGTAGCCATTAGTTAAATGCTTCTCATGATAGTTTTGGTTTGCAGAATTTCAGGGAAATTTGACTTTGGAATGGGCCAGGGCGCCAAATTGCCACGGATCATAAGACTGCCTATGCACAGGACACCTCTTTGGACACGTCCAAGGACATGTCTTTTTGCTTGGGAGCACCTTGGCAGAGTCCTCTCCGGTGCAGCAGCGTGGGCCCTTGCGTGTAATGCAAGCCTGGGCACCAGCGATGCTTGGCACAGCTGGGCACTGTCTTCCTTCGCCAGAGCAAAGCCATGAACACATATGAAAACAATGGCCTCCAACCTAATAGCAAAAGGAACAAAACCATGAACACCGTTAAAGTTGAAGGAACTATCATGACACATGAATCATGAAATGAACGGAATATCAACAGATGCAACCCAACAAGGCCATTCTTGCTCACGAGGGGTAGGGAAGTGCAAGATCAAAGGCCGAGACTGGAAGGGAAATGCTTAAAATCGTGCCAAACATGCCCGTTTTATCAAACAGCTACTTAGACGACTAGGATTGCAATCACTTTGGATAGCCGTAAGGAGAGAGGACGATGAAGAGCGCGTGGCCTCTTTGTCCGAAGAGGCGGAGGACTTCCTTCAAGACAAGATCAATTGGAGAGCGCTTGAAGCAACTCTCGGCGAAGAAAGTCATTTTTTGCCAAACGCGCTCTTTTTGGGGTTGGATATTTTTTTGGGGGGAGGACAAGTTAGTGAAGTCCCTCTCTTCAACCATCGAATCCCACACCATGTTTGGCTTTTGCCGCCTTTGCCGGTCAACCTGGCTGAGGTGCCCATGGCCTCGCAAATCAAGGGCCTGGCACAGTTGCAGCAGAACGCCGGCACGTCCCGGTTGATTGCAGCCAAGGCCGTGTCGCGGGCGCCAGCGACCCGAAGTCGCTTCCAGAACCGAAAGCAATCCGTATCAAGCATATCAGGCCCATCTCAATGATACAATGGCCTTATGGTGAACATCCATTATATCATCATATCGTATCTATACATTGCATCGTGAGATGAAATCGTGATGGAATCAGGTCCAGCACTCGGATCGTTCGCACAAACCCACTCCAAGAACCCACGGTCGTTCACGGAATCTAGGAAAAACTAGGAATCAAAGAGCTACTATGAGTTTGTGCCCAGCCAGGTTCAGAGGTTGCTTGAGTTTGTCACTGTTTGAGTTTGTGCCCAGATTCAGAGTGTTTTTCAAACCATGAGAGGAAATACGAAGTTGAGATTACAGAAATGCACGAGGGGGGTCGGCTGTCCAAAACGTATTTTGGGTTTGTCTATGTTTGTCACAATGCATACTCACATGGATCAGTCAAACCTTAGAAGATCATATTTTGGAGTAAGAAAGGCTTGACCAACGCTGCAGCAGCATACTTTAGCATGTCCTTCTTGAAGCACCTGAAATTAGTTAAGCCAGTTAAGCTTTGGATTAGCGGCCATGCAAGATTGAGAAGATGAGAGCACGGTGGACCATTCCCGAACATTCGCTTTGAGTCACTGTGCCCTTTCTCCAAGACTGTCATGACTATGTGGTCATGACTAGTCACTAGTTTTTGCTTCGCTTTCTAGTCTTTTTTCAGGTATTTTTTCTTTAAACCTTCAGACCCCTGGCAGCGGAGGCTTGGAAAGATCCTGCCATGCGGAGCATACCGGAGGCCAGGGCTCCGCGGCGGCCCCTGGCTTTGGCGCAGGGTGGCGTGGCACCACCTCCCGTGGCACCACCTCGACCTCCCCAGCCTCGTGAGCCAGGCTGCCCGATGGGTTCAAGACATGTCAAGACCCAAAGCTCAAGCTAAGATGGCTAAGGAGGTAGTGCTCCTGTTCCGCTTATGAACTACTAGCGATGGCCTCCAACCTAAAAACAATGGCCTTCAACCTGCTAGCAATGGACTCCAACCTACTAGCAATGGCCTCCAACCTAAAAGCAATGGCCTCCAACCTAAAAGCGATGGCCTCCAACCTTTGAGCGAGGGCTCCAACCTCCTGCGAGGACCTCCAACCTACTAGCAATGGCCTTCACCCTACTAGCAATGGCCTTACTAGCCGTGGCCTCCAGCCTACTAGCGATGGCCTCCAACCTAGAAGCAATTGCCTCCAACCTAGACAAACTAAGATAGCTAAGTAGGTAGTGTTACACTCGAAGGAGTATGTAGCAATGACAATGGGATAGTTAGTACTCGAAGGCCACCTGAGACACTCAAATCCTTTGGTACATTGCGAACCGTTACTTCTCCGCTTCTAGAATGTTCACCAAGAAACTTTGAACAAACTGTTGCTGGGTTTCATGTATATAAGAAGCTTTGTTATCACCACGCCTTGGTGGTGGCAAAGAGGTCCAGATTTTTACAAAACCCAGTAAGGGTGGTTAGGCTGCAGCAGGCTACTATAGTAGCTAAGCAAGACTCATGGAAGCTACTAAGCTTAAGAAGCTGCTACCCAGGTCGCAGGAAAGCTCAGGCTTGTTCAAGGAAGCTCCCTCTACCTGAGGGCAGGGGGGAAGCTTCCTTAAAGAAGCCCTCCCACTATTCATTCCTTGACTTTTTTGGCCTTGCGCCAACTTGCAGACTAAGACAGACTAAGACATGTTTGGGCGAAGGCCATGTGACCGAGCACTCTTACTCAAATATGGCATAGTGCCTCATGTCAGTGGGTGGTGGGCAAGCCCCGTTTCATTCTTTCACCTTTCTTGGCTTTCCTTGCAGCCTTGCTTGCAGCCTTGCTTGCAGCCTTGCAGGTAATTCCAGCCCATCACAGACACGAGGAAGTACCTGCCCGCCCCTGCGGCGCAAGTCGTCGCTGGAAGCCCAAGTCACTGCCCTTGCGCCTCGTCAGCCCTCCATTGGTGACATGCGCAGTCCACCGCGTGGCCTTCTACGGGCACATGGTGTGGCAGTACCTCAACGGCAGTGCCTTGGCCGAATTCAGAGCGATAGCGAGGGCCTCCACTTAGTAGCCTTCTTGCAACTAGTTAAAGGTCATAAACCGCAAAAAAGGCAGCATTAAACAATCATGTTTCTGCGCACGTTTCTGCGCACATAGTTTCTGTCCGGTTGCACTCCCGAGGCTTGACAAAAACCTGGGTGTCCGTGACAAGAGCCGCTTGCGTGCTCGTAGCGAGCACTCACGTTTGGGTCGAGTCGGGCGAGCTCTGGTGACGCCTACGGGCGTTCCCAGGTGAAGAGCAGATGCTGAGCAGGTCGAGCCTTTCGTTCAACCAGGTCATGAGGATTGTAAGGCGTCCGGTATGAGCAAGAGAATACGATATAATGTGTATCTATAATTAACAAACGTCGACGTCCTAGAGTGACTCTGAAGTCCAACATCATTATCTTGAACACTTCCGACCGATTCAGCTGTGGACCAAACAGACCGACTCGTCCAGCCAACCGATTCACGGTCCGATGCGCGGACCCGCGACGTTTCAACGCAGCGGTCGGATCTCGTTTCACCCAACGCGGTCTCATCACTTCATGTTTACGTCTTAAGTATAACTAGACCTGACCTACTGTAATTATCCGATATCTCACACCCAGAACCCAGCTGTGCGGCTACTTGCAGCGTTCTCCAAAAGAGAGGTGAAGTGGGGACCCAAAATCAGCTCTGCGGGACCCAAAAAGTCCGCCGCATCGGGTCACACGTGGTCTTGGCAGGCTTTCCGACGGTCGGGACGTCAAGGGGGAGAGAAAGAAACGGAGTCATTCACCCTGTACCCTCAGATACTCTCAGGTACCGAATCATTCGTGTCACATTGCTTTATTGTTCTCAGTGCTGGAGGAAAACCCAAGTCTCGCCAATGCTCAAGGGGAGCCAGAGAACCACTGTGGGGCACAAAGCGAACGGTCGCGGCGTCGCTACGAGTCCGGAGCGATCGGACGCTACGAACGGGGCTCCTGGCCTTACTAATTACTCCTAGGAACAAAAAAGCTATATTGTTACTAGTAGCAAACATTGTTACTACTAGTAAGGCACCTGTTACTACTAGCGTGGCACTTGTTTCTAATAGCTTCTTGTTATAAAGCTACGATTTTCTATTCTTTTTTCTATGTTGATCGTGCGAATGGAATGAGGTGGAGGGTCGGGGGTTGGAGGGTCGCTGGAGGACCAAGTGACCAAGATGGAGGGTTTGGGGCTTGGGGGTAGACCATATGCGGGTGGTATCACGGTGGGGGCACATGGCTGGTTTGGAGATGTTTGGAGTGAACCTAGTTGCGTTTTTCCAGCCCCTCTCTCACTCTCTCCCCGTCCCCTCCAACGGTTTGGAAGGACACAGGGACAACTGCGGGAACCGGCAGCGGAACACTCAAAGTGTGAAAGTGCTAAGATTTTGCGAACACCGCCTTAAGATCAATAAAGGAAGGAGTGAGAGTTGCCGAAAAGCTTGCCATGTCCAAAATCACATGTTTTGTGGGAGTGTCCTCATTATTGAACACATGTGACAGTTCCGGTGCAGGGGTCCCCCCTGAAAAAACATCTATGCTACTAAAAAAGCACGTTGCAAGACTCTTGGATTATGAGACGGGCCACAAGCAACTTGTTCTGTCGTTTGTGGGGTTGTTTGCAGTTCAGGCTCAGCGTAGCAGCGTAGCAGGCGCGCCAACTCTGACGGGTTTTGGCACTATGGGGTCGGCACCAATGCGTGCGGACACGAGAACATTGAATTTGAACATCGACCGCAAGGATGCGACCTGGCCCAAGTATCAATCACAAAGTGGTTGTAGCAGAACTGGGCAACGGAAAACGTTGGCAGATTTGTCCAGAGGGGGAAATCACACCCGACAAGAAGACAGGTGGGCGACGCGCAACAATGTTACAGTAAGAATATTCCCTAATGCCCACTTGGGCATTAGAACTTTTTCTTTATCTTTTGGGGGAAACACTTAGAATGTTGTTTGGATGATCAGTTGAAGAAAGACATGTTCGTTGTCAACCCTTGAGATCTTTATAAGCGGGGTTCGGTATGTGTAGGTGTACTAAGCCACTGTGGCTTTGTAGGTGGCTTTGGTATGTGCATGTCCAGGGAAAACACCAGATGTCAATTGCACTCTCAGCATGTCTTTGTGTTGCCACTACTGCTCCAAAAGGAAGCATTGAATGCAACTACCGATCATGGGTTTGAAAAGGTGGCGCAGTGAGTCTGAGGTATGCCGAATATTCTATTGTTAACTTCAAACTTATTCCCTTTTGTTTCCTAATGCACCTTAGTATTCTATTTGTTTGCAGGTTACTACACGGGGGTCTCCTTTCAATTTTGGGAACCCTCACGGTGTTGTGAAGGCGGCAATGCTTTGAACACCTTCATGTCACTGAACGCTTCGCTACAAAGAGAGTCGCTCTCCTTTTTGGGAGAATGCTAGCTCTCAGGCTTTCCGCAGCACCTTAGCCAATTTCGCCTGATTAACCATTGGGGCAACGTAGGAAGAACGGTCGAAAGAGAAAGAGTACAAACAAGTTCTTGTGTGATGGATTCCCTGGAGACGGGGAGGAGCATACAAACACCAGAGAGGTCTCCATTGGCACAATGGACGCAGCATGCCCATCATGACCTAAAGCATACCTCGCCGTCAGGATGGTTTTTACCTTCTCTTCAACACCCAATCCGCCAGAGTTTGTTGATTGAACCTACACGAAAGCGTGAGGCGAACGAAAAAAACAGGAGGGAATATGTTTCGGCCCCTTGAACGGCAAATGCGGCGGAGAAAAGGCGACAATCTACTAGGAACAAGGTCATCGCTACTAGTAACAAGTGCCTTACTAGTAGTAACAAAAAGCTATTAGAATTAAAATAAGACTAAATTAAATCTAAATTAATAGCTTTTTGTTACTACTAGTAAGGCACTTGTTACTACTAGCTTTGTGAATACGCGGTAGGTGAAGCACCTTGTGATGTTCATGGTCCACACCTGTTCAAGTTGTTCATGCGACCAGGGCCCATTGGAACTATCTATTCGATATCGGTGTTCCTTCCCTCTTTGTGCCCCTGCGGCCTACCGAGGTCGACAGCCAGTGGCTTTGTTGGGGTTGCTACGTCGTTCCACGGGAAGGACCGGAAATTGTGGAGGAGAGACCCAGACTCCACGTGCACTCCAAGAGGTCCTTGGGATCCTTGCTGCAGGACTTGCACCATTGCTGCACTTAGATTATGAGCTACTAGTAAGGCACTTGTTACTAGTAGCGATGCACTTGTTCCTAGTAGCTGCACCATTCTTGCTGAATGGTCTCATGAAAGAGTGTTTAAGCCTAAATCACCACACATCGTCGAGATCACACCACCGGTCGAAACTGCCACAGACTGGCTGAGAGATCACGTACCACATGATACCACGGCACCAAATGACGCAGAAAGGTCCCAGGCATCGCTGCTTTTTGGCGCCTCACACAGCGATAGGAGGGACGATGAGAGGAGGACATAGAGACCTAAGAAGCTACTGGCCGTACTACTAGGAGCAAGGACGCTACAAACGGAGCAAAGGGCATCGCTACGAACGGAGCAAGGATGCTACGAACGGAACAAAAGGACGCGAAGCGAACGTAGCAAGGAGCGAAGAGGCACAGAGACCGGTCCCAGCCTGTGGAGCACAGAGACCTAAGAGATCAGAGTGGAGCCATGTGGGTCGGTTGGACGGCCATGTGCGTGTCAGTTAGCACAAGGGTCAGTTGCATGCAAATGCTTGTTGGACGGCCCCATTTGCATGTCAGTTTTGCTGAAGTATCGCATGATTGCGAGACCTGGGGAGGCTAAATGTATCTAAATGTCAAAATGTCTAAGCATTTAAAGAGCGTTTTTTGGGGGCAACATGTATACTGTATGTCGCCTGCCGCAGCATCACGATGACTCGGGTTCAGATGGAGAGCCGGGGAGCGGATTCCGGTTGTTCATCAATGATGGGTGACGAACAAGTAGCGTCCGAAGGCTCCGCTCGTAGCGATGCCCTTTGCTCCGTTTGTAGCGATGCACTTTGTTACTAGTAGCTTCTTGTTACTACCAGTAAG